CTCCTCTCTCTCTTCGTCTCTGTCTCATCTTGACAGGGTCTGGAACAGGCGGATTGGGAATGAGATGGGGAAGGAGAGGAGTTCTCTTGACAATTCCCCAGCATTTAGGCACGAACAATTCATCGTCAAAATCACAATCTTGTACTCATATCCGTCTTCCTCTCCATCAGGTGCAAGAGCGGGAGCAGTAACAGTCACATACACTTTGTGCTCTTCCTCGTCCTCTAGCTCCAGGACCAGGTCCAGGGCTAAGGCTCAGTCTCACTCGTACTTTCCATCAGGCGTAGTAGGACTAGAACTTGTCCATGATCATGAGCAGGACCAGGGCTCGTCCAAGGGCCCTCTCTCCCTCCATATCGTCTTAGTGAATGTTTCGGTCTCCGTGCTTATTTTTCTCCTCCTTCTTCACCTGCTCCCGCCGTTGTCCCTGCCCTTCTCCCTCGTCCATGCCGTAGTCGTCGGTTTAGGAGTAGACTGATGGCAGTGTCATTGGCAGCAGGAGGACCAGCAGGAGGAATAGGAGGAGGATGAGGAGGTGGTAGAGGATGTGGTAGTGAAGGAGGAGGAGGAGGGGGAGGGGGGAGGGGGGAGGGGGGAGGGGAGGGAGGAGGAGGAGGAGGAGGAGGAGAAGGAGGAGGAGATGGAGTTGGCGTAGGAGTTTTCCTGATAATACTGCAGGTTTTCGAGTTAGAAGAAGATGAACAGGAGGGACGGAGGGAGGAGCAGGAGCAGGAGCAGCAGGAGGTCGACCTGGTACTCCTGTAGCCCGAGGGTGCAGAGGGCGTGGAAGTTGCAGACGTAGGCGTTGGACTTACCCTCCTTGAGTAGCGAGAGGATGACTGACATGTCGCTCCTGCCAGCAGACCTTCAGTTGCTCACGGCCAGCTCCAGCTGGGGACCTGCTCAGGTCTGGGATCCTCAGTTTGGGTTTGGGAGGGGATAGAGCTCCTTCCTGCCGCAGGCTCAGCGACCGGGCGGGGGCTGACGGGGCTAAGGACCTTGGACTTGAGATGAATCTCCTTCTCCACCGCTGTCCTCACGGACTCGATCTGAGCACGCGGAGTGAGACAGACTTCCTAGTCCTCCTCCTCCTCCCCCTCCCCCTCCCCCTCCTCCTTCTCGTTCTCTTCCGCGTTCTCGCCCTCTTTTCTCGTCCTCGTCCTCGTCCTCGTCCTCGTCCCGCCTCTTCCTTCTCTCCCTTCTCCTCTCCCTCCCTTCTCCAATCCTCCTCCCCAAAGTTTTATCCCTTCCTCCTTCCTCTTCTCGCCGCCTTCCCCATCTCTCCAGTCGTACGTGCGCTTCTGAGATCTCTTGGTCCACTATCCAGTGATGATTCATGATAGCTGCAGGCAAGGCAATGAGAGGAGGAGCGAGAGTGCGAGGAGGGACAGCAAACCTGTGTTCGTCTTTCCCTCCAAGATCAGAGTCTTGACCTTCTCCAACCATCATCCCCAGCGCGTCATCTACCACAACCACCTTGATGTAAGTGTCCTGCTCCAGCTGCTTGCACATCCTGGGGTCTGCTCAGCAGGAGGCAAGCAGGGAGAGGAGTCAAGACAGACTTTGAATCCTTCGGGCTCTTGGGCAGCGGGAGGTTGCGGACAAGGCCGACCTGACGAGCATGTTACTCAAGAGCCCAGAAGACTCTCCTCCTCCTCCTCCTCCTCCTCCTCCTCCTCCTCCTCCTCCTCCTGCGGCGTGTCGGCCGCCTCCGAGGGCGGGAGAGCCACTTCCTCTACTTTCTCAACACCAAAAAAAAAAAAAAAAAAAAAAAAAAAACGGCTTTTTTTTTTTTTTTTTTTTTGGAGAGTGGTTTTTTTTTTTTTTTTTCTTGGGGGGTGTCCTTTTTCTTTCTTCTTCAGTTATCAGGTGGGGGGATAACGGGGAATATTAGGTGGTTGTTAGCAGCCACAGACGACGCCCCTC